AGCTAGAAGAAGCTCTTCCCAGCCTTGGCTCCAAGATAACCAAAAAAGTAACAAGTCACAACAAAAAGGGCCACAATCATGCACAGGCAATTCACTGTATGAACTTCGACAAGTGTGTGTTCAAGGATGAGCCATTAAGTTTGGAACATGAAGGCTGCTGTGGTCAGAGGTATTTTCAAAGTGCCAGTCTATGTTCTTCCCAAGCTCTATGTCCAGCTGCATTGCTATGGGAGCTGTGCCTCATAGCAAGGGAGTCAGGAATCAATCTTGTGAAGCCAGAAGACATAACACCCCCACCATGTCAACTTTGAGGCTTTTTGTGCTGTCTTTTTGTGCTTTAGTTTACATTACAGCTAGGATGGATCTCAGAGATTATCAACTTCACTTTACAATTCTAGAAACTAGAACCTGGACAGCTAAGCATTTTCCCTAAGTGGTGTGGACAGCATAGTGACCACTGCTGCTTAACAAAGTTCCAGTATTTAAACATTGCAGACCACACTTCTCCAGCACCTTTTATTTTTAATCATTCTCACTACTAATGGCTTTCCTTTTGGGAAATTTTGTGAAGGATATAAATGTGTACAATGGTAGCCTCTCTAAACAAAATCAACTCTTTGAAAAAAAATTGCCACCACTATGGAATCAGGAATTCCATTGTGCCCTCCTAATTACACCAAGAACAGGAATGTTAGAGATTTACTAAATCACCTGATTCCCAAGGATGAATTCAGATCCAGAGCCTAAGGCCATTAAAGTCAAGAGTTCAAATTGGCCTGAACAAGGGAGAGCACATCGACCCCAGATGCTGTCCTGGAGGCCAGTACAAGACTAATCCAGACCCCTGAACATGGATGTCAATAAGGAGGCCTCTGCACTCCAGGGAGCCTCTGGTGATGGATTAGTATTTTTCCCTGGTGCAAGAAGGGACTTTGAGAGCCCATCCCACGTCCCGTGGAGGGCCCTACCCTGCCTGGGGAGTGGTGGGTGGATGGGGTGGGGGGTAGGCTTGGGGTGGGGAAGGAAGGATGGGGTGAGGGGAGGGAGAGGGAGAAGGGACTTACATGTGAAACAAGCTTGTTCCCTAACTAGAACTAATAAATAATTTTTTTTTAAAAAGTCAAGAGTTCAGTTAAATACAGAGAAATAAGAATGGTACAGTATAATGGAAAAGAGTAAGACATCAGGACCTCCCCTTTTGGGAGTATTATGAGGTGTATGGGCCCATGTAGTAAGACTAAGAAACTGTAGTGTCTGCTCCCCAGAAGTCCTTTTTGAGAAGGTCAGGGCTTTGAATAAGGGTCTCCATTTCCTGGGGAGCTCGAGGAAAGTTCCTGTTTGATAAAGCAGTCATTCTTATCTCTAGCAAGAGGAAGTTACGGCCTTTCCATTAACATGTGACTGGTGTCTACTGTCAAGGTCAATGCTAGATTCTTCAAGCCCAGATCTCAAGCCACACTCCAGCTCACATGCCCTTTGTCTCCCGTTTAATCCTATGCCCAACTATACTGTATAAAAGGCGTAGTCTTGTCTCAATTAAAGGCTGCTGGCAGCCAACCTGATTCACTCTCAGATCGTGTCCATCTCCTCTTTGCCTCCCCAGCACCACATACACATCCTCTTTGGGACCTGAACCCCTGCTGAAGCGAGTCTCGGGCACCTAAGGCCACAGTAGTGTGTATGTGGTGACGCTAAAGCGTGTCTCTTGACTTGGAATCCAATTCTATACATGGCTGTGTACAACTGAAGGGTGTCTGGGTACTCTCAGAGTATACATCCTTTAACAACCAGTAAAATATACTAAAAAACAAAGAAAACTTACTCCTTCTAGGGTGCTAGAATTCATGATAAAATCAACCACAAAGCAGAACTGTATAGTGGGAAGGATGGACCCCCAACCAAGAGTGAGCCAGGGGCAGCAATATGCATATACCATCTGTCAGGTATGGGTGAAGAGAGGGACCAACTGTTTCATTTGATAAACGGGTTAGCACCATATTCTGGAATAAAATGGAAACAGGCTTTGAGATTAATGATTACCATACATGGCAAGACTGTCATTGCCACAAAAACTTCCTAAATTAGGACACACCGTGACAGTTATCCTTCAAGGGCCAAGAGAGAATACAGACTACACTTTGGGGAAATAAGTATCTCTTTTGCTTTGGTTGTTTTAACAGGTATATATATATCGATTTAAAGAGTAATGAAAATATGAAAAAAACACATTATTATGCCTACTCAGCTATTTTCTTCTAAGAACTCATAGTACCTTTAACAACCAAAAATGATTTTTACAATAATTTAACAAATATATATGTTGTTCATTTTATGTTTTGAGAAAGGGTCTCAACTGTGTAACCCCAGGCTGGCCTCAAAGTCAGAGAGACCCATTGCTGCCTCTGCCTCCTAAGTGTGCACTACCACACTCAGATACAGGCGTGCTGGGCACTATGCCTGGGAGTTTATTACACACACTACACAGAACAAAATATTATTTCATTTCTAGATCATTGGTTCTCAAACTTAAGCCAGCCCCAGAAATCCTTCTGAGAGCAGTTAAGACAGACTGCTTGTCACAACAGTTAGTGATTCTGTTTGCTGGGGTGGGGGTGGAGGTTGGGGTGGGGGGTAAGCATGTGTGTCTAACAAGTTCCCAGGTGGTGTTGATGGTGCTGATTTGTAGAGCACATTTCCAAACTCCTTTTCTAGTCACAGAAAGCCAAGCAATATACTGTATCATAAATATATAAAGTGTTGAGTACATTAGGAAGTAAGTGTTCTGAATCTGGGTCTGTAATGGAGCACCCCTTTAATCCCAGAACTCAGGAGGCAGATGCAGATGTACTTATGAGTCCGAGGCCAGCCTGGTCTACAGAGAGAGTTCCAGGTCAGCCAGGGCTCCACAGAGAAACAAGAAAACCAAAACCAAACAAACAAAACAGAGCATCCTAAGAATAGCTAGCTACATAAAGAGCTAATATTTTAAATTAAACAAAAAAAAAACAGTAAATTCCCAAATATGAATAATAGCTAGTAGCTCTTGCCAGATAGTATTTTTAAGGGATTTACATATATTAACTCATTCACTCCTCACAAAAAACCCCATGAAGTTAGATGCTATTTTATTTTGTAGAGGAAGCTAGTTTGGTTAAAAAACTCGCAAGGTCACATAGCTACTAAGCCAGTCTGAAGCCAGTCTGCCCCGCCCCCCCAATGTCTTACTATATAAAACCTAGTCTGCTAGGTAGATCAAGCTGGCCTTTAACTCACACAGATTCTCCTGCTTCTACATGCCAGGTGCTAGGATTAAAAGTGTTTGCCTCTGGGGCTGGGTGTTGGTGGAACACGCCTTTAATCCCAGCACTTGGGAAGCAGAGGCTGGCGGATCTCTGGGAGTTCAAGGCCAGCCTGGTCTACAAAGAGAGTTCCAGGACAGGCTCCAAAGCAATACAGAGAAACCCTGTCTCAAAAAACAAAAAAAAAAAGAAAAAGAAAAAAGAAAAAAAAAAAAGAAAAAGAAAAAAGAAAAAAAAAAAGGAAAGAAAGAAAAGAAAATTTGCCACTGGCAAATTCTTGGTTTTTACAATATCTACTTTATTAATGAATTCTTGATGATGGTTTTAATGGCAGAAAAATATTTTGTCAGGCTAGATACAGAATACACTCTACAGGTAGCCAGTCACATCTATAACTCAAACCAATCTGCTCCTCATATTTAAGTTCATCCACTCAACTGATCACGTGAGAAAACACGGAAACTCTTCAATCTTTCTTCCTATTCTTATCCACCAGTCTCATAAGTCTGCCTCGGAACCACCTGTTGGATTTAATGCTCACTCTCCAGAGTCCCATGCTTACCTAGTCAACTGTCATGGAAGCTCCTAACACAGCCTCATATCCATTCTCACATCCTCTATCCAGCTACCGCAGCCTTGCTTCTAAAATGAAATCCACATTACCCAACTGCTTATGATCCTTACGGATTTCCCCCAAGACATCCAACAGTATTGATGTGACACATTCAAGTTCCTCTTCAATGTAACTGTTTGCCTTCCCTCACTTCCGGCCTCTGTCTCACCTATAAGCTAAACGCTATGGTTAGAATTAATTAAAATTTTTCATTGCCTATCAAACTACCAAACTCCTACATCCCCAACCTCCAATCTTACGATTTTTTTTAGAAGTCGTTTTAATGAAATACAGGACCGCAGATTTAAGAACCTCCTTTGCTCCTGGGAGAGGCAGATAACTAAGAATTGGGGTTGGGGGGAGTAGGACACTAGAGGATCCCTAAGAGACGACACCCTGGTGTCTGTCTATCTCATTGCACGCCCGGTCAAGCCAAGTGGCTGCAGCAGACCCTGGGCTTCGCGGGCCGGACAGCAGCAGGGGGCGTGCCGGGGGAGCCAGGGGTCCGCATCTGGGAGGACAGCACCGGGCGGGCGGCCCCCCCCCCCCGCCTCCCCTGCCCCCGCGGCCCCCAGCAGCCGCTCGGGAACTCCTCGTAGGTCTTCAAGAAGGCCGCGGAAGATCTCGTGCAGCTTCTCGAAATGCTCGGAGGAGGCGGCGGAGGTGGCCATGGCGCAGGCTGCACGTGAGCGTCGGCCTCTGAGATTCCGGGCGCAGGGCCCACTCACCCTTCAGCGCTCAGCTGCCGGGTCCCGAAGCCATCACCGCGACCGCCGCACCCGGGCCAGCCGGAACCAGGTGCTTCCGGGGTCCTCCGAGCCGGACGCCCTCCCCTTGCTGTCGCCGCGCGGGCGCCGGGCGCCAAAGCCTGACGGAAAGCCGGGGGCGAGGACGACTCCCGGCTACTCCAGGGGCGCGGCGCCGCGCGGGGGACGATCGGCTGTCTCCGAGCTGGAGACTGCCAGCCGGGCTGGGGAGGTACCAAGGCGAAGGGCCCCAGGGGGCCCGCGGGACGGGCGCCTCGGCCGCCTCATCCGGGCACACCGGGCCTGCGGTGCATGCTGGGAATTGTAGTTAAGTGAGGGAGTTGGGCAGATGGGTCGCGGCTGTGCAGGGGCGTGGAAGGTCAGCCCTGTTGCGCAGAGACTGGGACTGCATAGGAGCCTCCATCAACCTATCTGTCATCGCAGTTCGTTCAGCTCTCTGATTCGATTAAATGTTTACTCTTAACCCTTGATAGATAGGTGAGCAGAGTCCTGCCTGCCCTCTAATGGTAAAACACTGATATTGGGGGGGCTTAAGTGTCACATGCTTTCAGAAGAGGAAACTGGGCTTCTAGGGGCTTCGCCAGTGTAGTTCATTAGGCTGCCCTGGGTTCTCACAACAGGTTTAAGCATAGACATTATGCAAAGACCGAGTCATATGTTGAACAAAATAGATTTTGTCTCTGCCCTTGGGTAATTTATGATCTGGTGTGGAAGGCAAACCGGTCTTACCACATCTAATCTGCCGTTAAGTGAAATATGTCAACAATCATGAAGTCCTTTCTGTGTATGGTTTGCACAAAAAGCCTGCTCTTCAAAAGTTTGGGTGAGAGAGCTCAGTATTTAAACATGGAGATAGATAGATAGATGATAGATAGATAGATAGATAGATAGATAGATAGATAGAT